GGGGGGAGGGGGGGAATTGGTAGGAGGTGTGTTTGGTTTTTGCCACAGGATGAATCCTAAACCGATGTCAAATCAGTTCATCTTCTCTTAAGATTGGAGCCAGCCACCCCACACATATTCTCTATATGCCACCTATCTTCCTTCACTCGTGGTAAAATTCACTACTATTACTTTCATACTCCGATTAAGTTATGCACCGTGGACTAAAACTGCATTGAAGGAATTCACATTTTCTCTGTCACACACTCAGGTAGGAGGCAAGTCCTAAAAAAGAAACCCCACACGCAGGGCTTCCATGCCCCCCTGGGACTGAGGTGAAGCACAGACCAAGAAAGCAGCAAGGGCCTGAACAGTGACCCCGTCCGTTTCTGGGCCCCACCGGCAAACCCGTCCCAAACCAAAGCATAACCAGCAGAAAGGAAAGGCACAGAAAAGCTGCAGCCCACAGTTAAGCCCAACGCCGCTCAGCACTGACGCGTCCTTGCTCCCTCCGAGTACCAAGCAGAAGAAAACGGGAAATTTTAATACATTTTTACACTCGCCCGATTTTTGTCCCTACGCAAGGTTTTACCGGCACGCCGGTCTAACGCCAGCACCGATTCACCGCCCGGCGGTTACAAAACCTCGGCTTCCAGCGACGCTCTCGCCTGCGCCTCACCGCCAGCCCTCAGGCAACCGCGCCGCGGCCTGGGCACCGCTCCCGGATCCCGCCCGCCTGCCTTCCACCGAACCCGCAGGGCAGAGGCGAGGCCGGGAACGACGGCGACAGGCGGTAGCGACCTTCTCCACAAAAGCGGCCGCCTCGACACCTTCCCTTCCCCGCTCCGTAACCGAGGCGCTCCCCAGAGGCGCTGAGGTACCGCCTCACGGTACCGCCTCACCTTCCCGCCGCCTCCCACCGCTTCCGGGCCCGGCGGGAAAACACGCACCGCTCCGCTCAAGGTTCCGCCGTCGGCGGTAACTAACCGAGCTCCCGCCTTCAACCGGCGGAGGAGGAGGAGGAGGAGGCGGCGAAATCTTCCCTCCGCCGCTGCGGGCGCGGAGAGGTCGCTACACGGTGCCGAGCGGTTTATTCGCAAAGAGCTTTAGCGT